CTTATATTTTGTTGTACTGTATAAGCACTAAACACTGACATTTCAGGCTCTGCCACTGTGACTGTAAACCTCAATCATATCACCTCCTCTCACGCCCTACAGGTTTTCTGTGTGTCGGATTTCTTCAAAAAGAAAGTCGAACCACAGAAGGAGGCAGAGATCCCACACACCACCTTACAAGAGACACCTACGAATGGAAATCATTATGAAAACCCAAACTAAGCTATGATGAGCCTCTGTGGATGGGAAGGGGTTTCAGCGTGCTCCCACTATGAGGGCAGACCACTAGGGTGGAAACCTGTGAATGTAACCTTGCTTTCTATGTTCTCCATGGACTCTGTCCCACGTTGCCTTGGCTGAACTGCTTCTGCTGCTACCACAGCTTCCTCTGTATCTCCAAAAACTTGTGTACCTCTATTAAGCCACAAAAGAAAAACCTTTTTTTTATCTGTATGAAAACAAGAATCACTATACAGTCTTTTTTTTTAATTAAAATTGTTAAAATTATGTACAATGTTGCGCTTTTATTATGGAAACAAAAACCCATTATGCTCTATGCTCATTGACAAACACAAATAAAATGATTGTTTCATGTAAATTCTGTCCTTCACTGTTTTCATGCAAAATGTAAAAAAAAAAGTAGGGAAAAAAAAAAGGCAAAATGAAAACTATAACCCTCCCAAGTATTTGTTAGTTAACCAAATAGAAATGAATCATTTCCAACCAGTTTTAATGGGCATTTTTACCTTTAAGCCATTTGTTCTAAAATTGTGCACCATCTTTTGAGTCAAATTCTTGCATTTGGGTTGTTACCAAACAAATTAAATCAGTATCAACAAAATTGATCTTTGCAATGCAGAGGAAACACAGAAGCTGCATTAGAAGAGGCATTTAGATGCATTTACACACCGTTTAATGCCGCTCTGAGGGACATTAAATACTTTAACCTGCAGTTACAAATGCATAAATAATGTTTTGATATTTTAAACATAAAATATTGAAAACTGAAATTATTTAAAAACTGAAAAGGTACTTTAAATGTGAAATTAAAACCGCCAGTAGGTGGCAGCAAGTCACTGTTAATAAGTGAGTCATTGTGACTGAACAGAATCATTTAAACAGTTGATTCATTCAGGAACAAAACAGCGTCCTGTTGCTCAGAGACGCAAAACAGCGCTGTTGCTGTGTTTGAAATGATTTTTGCTGGAGAAATAGAGCAAAAACAGGAAATACAAATCACACAAAGCACTCTAAATGCACACGCGCACAACCTGCTAGACTTCACCTAATGCGTGCACTCTGTAGGTGTTTTCGGTTTGCTTTTCGCGATATACTCATAATATCAAATCACACATCATTAAAACATCAATTACGATATTATCGCAGACCATACATATCGCACACCCCTATGTTTAGATTTTTATAATGCATTGTCTTCTTATCGATCCACCAGTTCACATTCAAAGCTTTTGAAAGTTTGCAGGGTAAAAACATGGGTCGATTTTCGCATTGGTATGAACTCTGAACAAAACAAGTTTTATTGAAAATGCTCATTCATTCTCTGCCAGCAGGTGGAGCGTTTGGTAGAAATATCACTGCTTCCCCGGTAACGGCAGAACAGAGCAGTGCAGCACCGGATTTTGAACGTGCAGCGCTCATGTTTCATAGCCTTTTGAAGTTTAAACGTCACACTGAGCCATATCGCAATTCTGGTCTTTCCATCCTCAAATGTAAGACCTCTTGAAATCATAATTAAGACTTTTTAAGGCCTTAAATTTGATCCAACTAAATTTAAGACTTTTTAAGACCCCGCGGAAACCCTGTAACAGCATGCTAACATCCAACTTTATTGGAACCAATTTTGACCAAAGAATTTAACATCGACTACTGTACAATTAGCTCGGCAACATGCTAACATTAAACTCTACTGGAATCCATTTTGACCCAAGTGTTTGTAAGCTAATCAAATACTGTATAAGTAGCTTAGCAAAATGCTAACATCCATCTATATTAGATTTGATTTTGATGGGTTTGTTAGCTAATCGAATACTGTGCTGATTAGCAGCATGCCAACAACAATACCTATTGGAATCAATTTTGATTAACATTTTTATGCTTATTAAAACGCCATGTTATTAGCTTGCATATGAATGCATATGCTTCTAGATACACAAGCTTCGTTTCATGCCTGGTTTCATTATAAAAACTATCAGACGACAAATCAAAATGTAGCAAGTATATGATGGAACGAGTCAAGCGCAAAATGTTTTTCCCTTTAAAATGGCAAAAATGAGCAATTTAGCTGAATTGCATGTTTATTGCTAGCTATCTAAACAACACCACATCTGGTTTAATGAAACAGACATTTAAAGGGTACTCTAGTGCCCCCTTGAGAATGGAGGTCTGTTACAGCCAATGTTCAGCATGCTCAAGATTGCATACTTCTGTTAACTTCTTACTGACCTTAGAAGACAGCTCACGAAGTGTTAAAAAAAAAAACCTTTCTTGTAAATTAAATAACGAGTGAAAATACTGAACAGCAATATTGAGATGATCTTGGATTGTGGATTAATTTGTTATCTTGTATCTCACGTCCACAGGTTCTCAGAATTGATCAATAATTAAATCTTTCCAAGACTGTTTACCAGTCAAGTGCTCAAAGCTGCCCACAATAAACTGGATACTCTGTGCACGTGGCTCTATTTAGCTCAATGAGTCACACTACGAGTCTAAATCATGTCTTACCCGTGGCAAACTTATTCTCCAGCTCCGTGTTTCCAATGGCCTTGGCTGCCTGGCACATCTGCCTCAAGAGCTCCTCCAATCTGCGCATACAGCGGATAATACTGCCTGAGAGAGAGAGAGAGAGAGAGACCTCCTCGCACTTACTACATACCAACCACATATGGTCATTTTCAGTGCTTGTAACCCATAGTTGCAATGTCCAGTTGTATTAGCAATGTTTATTTCTATGAAATTTTTCTTGGCACAAGGGAATTGCTGGCATGATGTTCTAAGATCTCTATTGAGAGCAGGGCTGCGTTTCACAAAAACATTAGCATAAGTACATTGTAAACCCATTGTAACCAATGGAGCTACGATCAACTTAGGCTTACGATGCTTTTGGGAAACGCAACCCAATTCAGTTTGAGTTGAAAGGGCATGAGAGAAAGAAAATAACGGAACTTCTCCATTTTTCATAAACATCTCTCCCTCACTGCACAATTTATCACTACAAGTGTTTTGCTGTTTGCCAATGCACATGAACGCAGCCAAAATCTCACTCAGGAGCTGGAGCACGGACAGATGGGGAATTTTCTTGACAAGACATGAGATCTGCGTTGCAAAACTCACGTCATGCCTCAGACATGGCCAAATCTCAGAGCAGAGGCTTCTGGGAGAAGATGTGCTGAAAATACATTTTAAATCCTTTTATTTCACAACAGGCCCCATGCTGCACTTATGAAGTCCAGACCAAATGCAACATCACTGATTCCTAATAGTTTCACAAACTAATTACGTTTGCTCATTTTTGGGAAACAGGAATGATATGAAAATAGTATTTTTTATAGTAGAATTGAGTATAAACCATTGCTGGGATTTAGGGCTGGGCGATATGGGAAAAAACATCTGTCAATCATCCATCTGCCTATCCATCTATCATGTAAGCAAGTGCATTAAATGTGATTTTTTCCCCCTCCCCAATTAGATGAGCCATAACATGGACCAAATAGGCACTATTAGATTGCAGATCTTTAATCTTTAAAATGTTGAATAAATAAACAAAGCAAAAAAAAGTTTTTTCATGTTTTTTTCAAGTTTTCATGCATTTCATGCAGGCACACGTTTGACAATGAATAAAAAAAATAATTTTAAATTTAGTTTTTTACAGTTATGCCTGAGAGAGAGAGAGAGAGAGAGAGAGTGTTAGTCCTCCTCGCACTTACTACATACCAACCACATATGGTCATTTTCAGTGCTTGTAACCCATAGTTGCAATGTCCAGTTGTATTAGCAATGTTTATTTCTATGAAACTTTTCTTGGCACAAGGGAATTGCTGGCATGATGTTCTAAGATCTCTATTGAGAGCAGGGCTGCGTTTCACAAAAACATTAGCATAAGTACATTGTAAACCCATTGTAACCAATGGAGCTACGATCAACTTAGGCTTACGATGCTTTTGGGAAACGCAACCCAATTCAGTTTGAGTTGAAAGGGCATGAGAGAAAGAAAATAACGGAACTTCTCCATTTTTCATAAACATCTCTCCCTCACTGCACAATTTATCACTACAAGTGTTTTGCTGTTTGCCAATGCACATGAACGCAGCCAAAATCTCACTCAGGAGCTGGAGCACGGACAGATGGGGAATTTTCTTGACAAGACATGAGATCTGCGTTGCAAAACTCACGTCATGCCTCAGACATGGCCAAATCTCAGAGCAGAGGCTTCTGGGAGAAGATGTGCTGAAAATACATTTTAAATCCTTTTATTTCACAACAGGCCCCATGCTGCACTTATGAAGTCCAGACCAAATGCAACATCACTGATTCCTAATAGTTTCACAAACTAATTACGTTTGCTCATTTTTGGGAAACAGGAATGATATGAAAATAGTATTTTTTATAGTAGAATTGAGTATAAACCATTGCTGGGATTTAGGGCTGGGCGATATGGGAAAAAAAATCTGTCAATCATCCATCTGCCTATCCATCTATCATGTAAGCAAGTGCATTAAATGTGATTTTTTTCCCCTCCCCAATTAGATGAGCCATAACATGGACCAAATAGGCACTATTAGATTGCAGATCTTTAATCTTTAAAATGTTGAATAAATAAACAAAGCAAAAAAAAGTTTTTTCATGTTTTTTTCAAGTTTTCATGCATTTCATGCAGGCACACGTTTGACAATGAATAAAAAAAATAATTTTAAATTTAGTTTTTTACAGTTACAACAACATTGTAGATAAAGTGAAGAGTTGTGAACACTCATGAGAAGTGATTCAATGAAACCAATGGTCTAACGGTGTATGTACACCAAAAGTGAATGAATATTCGCATCACGTTATCGCTCTAGATTACTCGCAGTATGTTTTTCATGTCACTTGTGTGAATAAAACCATCGCATAATGCACTCCATTTTCTGATACAGCCGGACATGTCAAACTGGACGTGTCAATAAGCTCTTCGCTGATTCGTTTTTGCAACAAGTGAATTGTCCGCTTAAGTTGAAATTTTTCAACTTGTGCGGAAGACGGATTTGAGGCATATATTGCACGTTCGTAGCAATCGCGTCGCCCAATTCACATAATTTGCATTGCTTGGCACGAATTCGCATCTATTCATGTCTTTACATTGACTTTGTATGCAATCTACTCGCGCAAATAATTAAATTTGCTTTCGGTGTGCACACACTTCAATTAAATCACAAAAATATTGTAAATATTTGATGGATAAATTTGTTGCGAGATATATTTGTTACAAGTAAACTAGTACCTTCAAACACGTCTGTCATTTTGCATATCTGAGAGAATGAGGAGCCGTTGGCCCAGGTGTAGACCACATCCATCAGGTGCGGGCGGAACTGGTTCAGGTAAGTGTCCTCATCCACGTCCAGCTTGGCCTCTGCGGACACCTTAGCAATACGCTTGGCAC